GTTGATATGGTTGTGTTTGATTACATGCCAATACATGTACAAATGGTTGAAGGCAAAGGCTTTAAAAAACTGATGTCCATCGTTGCATCAAACTACAAAATACCGTCCCGTAATACTATAAAATCTAGGATCGGAAAGTATACGAAAATCGTAAATCCGCTCTGTTAGAACTTGCTCAAGTTCAAGTCAAACTGTACGACTGATACCTGGACGTCAAACGCAACAAAGAGTTACATAAATTTTTTTTAAACATGAACCACTTACGATTTTATTTCTTGTGTTTATCTGATAAATAATTAAATTGAACTTAAAAATTGTTGGATTAAATTTCGTCGGGCACGAAGTGCTCATCATTGTTACAACAGAAATGCATTTACGGGAAAACCTCCTATCAGAGCATGTGGTTTTATTTCTACAAGTGTTTACAATGTTTTACATTCATCAATTTACTTGTTCATATTTATTTACACTTTTACCGAGTACCCGGGTACTCGATCGGAAAAACGTCCGAGTAACCGAGTATTAAAAATTGACCGATTTGACATCCCTAATTCTTATATTCACTCAAAAATAAACTTGCATGCAGTGTTGAGTTGTCAAAAACCAAATGCCAAAAAAAATTGTACATTTATAATACATGCCTAAAGCAATAAGACTAGCTCTATGCCTGACCTACTTATTTCTACTGCTGTACATTTTACAAGCATGGGATAACACGTAATTAAGATATCATATTGTACTGTACATTATACTTACTGTGACATATTTTCTGGCATGCTGACCACCCCTACTTGTATAATGGTACCATCCTATTTAAAAGTTTTATTTTTAAAGCTGAATTTTTAAAATTTATTTAGCTTAATGAAAAGAATAAAAAACTTATTAGAAATCTTGATTTAACTCGAACCAATAGAATCAATAGACCACTTTCACATTTACAAAAGTTATTCCCCTTTGCAGGGTCAATCTGGGGTCAACCGAGTATTTAGGCATTGTTTTCCCTCTAAAACCTTACCAACTTTATGGGTCAGCATCTTAGAAATAAAATCTGTATGAATATGTTCATTATGTTTCTCATATAGCCCCAAACTCTGCCAATACAGGTACAGATCGAAATTGTCTGATAATGTTTGCAGATTAAAAATAATAACAGGTAAATTATAAAGGACAAAGTGGGAAAAATGAGCGTTACGCCGACAACTGGAGATAACTCTTAGGAATGTGCAATTCGTCAATTTTTTTTATCTGGATCTTAATAATTGCTTGAATTCTTCACTTTCCAAATTTGAAATTAGTCACAATAAAATTTACATTACACAATTTTTAAATGTAATTTCATTATTAAATTCAGACACTTGATTTCCTAAATATCATTGAAATATGACTATAAGCATTCTGATCAACAAAGCTCCACTGAATATGACAGTGTGCATAATTGCATGTATATAAATGTTTGCTTTTCTTCTTTGGAAAATCAAAACATCTTACAGTAATACAATGTATAGTGTATAAAGATACAAATTTGTATATTGCTTAATACTGTTCAAGATCAAGATTTAAATTATCAAGATAGAGATTTATCAAGACATTAATTTGAAGCCCACCTCTGTGAAAATGAAGTGGATGGCATATCTATGGATAGACCTCCAGTCTCGAACACCTAAAAACCAGCAAAGCATTAATAATTTAATCACTCTTCATTTTAAAATATTAATAAGCACTTTTAATTAAATTTTATCTCCTAACTTGTTAAATAAATGCTTCCAAATTTCTTATTACTGTTATATTTCCTTTCTGGTGCACGAATGCCCTTCCCCCTCTTTTTCATTTTTAAATGTCCCGCACCATTAACAGATGTTCATAAACATTTAAATTTGTACACCATGATTTCAGACAACTTTCAGAGAGGAAGAAATATCAGCATTCAATACACAGGAATTAACATTCCGATGACACGTACCATATGAGTGGTCCCTGACGGCCTTCAGCCGGAAAAATTGTTCCTCCCTACCCTCAACCTGTATCCTCCCACTGAGCTCCCCCCACTGCTCATAGTGAGTCTGGTGGTCTCTACAAAGGAATATATCTAACTATTACATATAAACATGACAGCATTCTATCCTCCCACTGAGCTCCCCCCACTGCTCATAGTGAGTCTGGTGGTCTCTACAGAGGAATATATCTAACTGTTACATATAAACATGACAGCATTCTATCCTCCCACTGAGCTCCCCCCACTGCTCATAGTGAGTCTGGTGGTCTCTACAGAGGAATATATCTAACTGTTACATATAAACATGACAGCATTCTATCCTCCCACTGAGCTCCCCCCACTGCTCATAGTGAGTCTGGTGGTCTCTACAGAGGAATATATCTAACTGTTACATATAAACATGACAGCATTCTATCCTCCCACTGAGCTCCCCCCACTGCTCATAGTGAGTCTGGTGGTCTCTACAGAGGAATATATCTAACTGTTACATATAAACATGACAGCATTCTATCCTCCCACTGAGCTCCCCCCACTGCTCATAGTGAGTCTGGTGGTCTCTACAGAGGAATATATCTAACTGTTACATATAAACATGACAGCATTCTGAGCCTCCACTCAGCTCCCCCCACTGCTCATAGTGAGTCTGGTGGTCTCTACAGAGGAATATATCTAACTGTTACATATAAACATGACAGCATTCTAGCCTCCCACTGAGCTCCCCCCACTGCTCATAGTGAGTCTGGTGGTCTTTACAGAGGAATATATCTAACTGTTACATATAAACATGACAGCATTCTATCCTCCCACTGAGCTCCCCCCACTGCTCATAGTGAGTCTGGTGGTCTCTACAGAGGAATATATCTAACTGTTACATATAAACAGGACAGCATTCTGAGCCTCCACTCAGCTCCCCCCACTGCTCATAGTGAGTCTGGTGGTCTCTACAGAGGAATATATCTAACTGTTACATATAAACAGGACAGCATTCTGAGCTCACACTGAGCTCCCCCCACTGCTCATAGTGAGTCTGGTGGTCTCTACAGAGGAATATATCTAACTGTTACATATAAACATGACAGCATTCTATCCTCCCACTGAGCTCCCCCCACTGCTCATAGTGAGTCTGGTGGTCTCTACAGAGGAATATATCTAACTGTTACATATAAACATGACAGCATTCTATCCTCCCACTGAGCTCCCCCCACTGCTCATAGTGAGTCTGGTGGTCTCTACAGAGGAATATATCTAACTGTTACATATAAACAGGACAGCATTCTGAGCCTCCACTCAGCTCCCCCCACTGCTCATAGTGAGTCTGGTGGTCTCTACAGAGGAATATATCTAACTGTTACATATAAACATGACAGCATTCTATCCTCCCACTGAGCTCCCCCCACTGCTCATAGTGAGTCTGGTGGTCTCTACAGAGGAATATATCTAACTGTTACATATAAACATGACAGCATTCTATCCTCCCACTGAGCTCCCCCCACTGCTCATAGTGAGTCTGGTGGTCTCTACAGAGGAATATATCTAAATATTACATATCAATAAACATGACCGCTTTCTAATCTTAAGTAAAGTCGTGTAGCCTATAGAATTGTGTGCGTGAAGGTTCATTTAATCATGTGGAATCGTTTGTGTAATGAGATACTTTGTGTTGCAACCACTGTATTATATTTTTCAAACTTTGTTTGCCAGAATATAACATTAAATTTTTGATACCTCTGAAGTCTGTTAAAGAAGTCTCTTGTCCACTTTTCCCTAGCCATTGCATCTGCTAGGGCTCTTGGGTTGATGTTTGTATCAAAATTAAATGGATCTGTCATAGCCTTCCATCTAAAATATAAATATAATGAATTGTTCCAAAATATTTTAGAGAATCTTGTGCATTAACAATAAGCATGATTATATTTTCAAATAAAAAATAACAGCAATGTTATTTACATTTTATAGAAATAATGTTCTTTTTAATATTTGTTTTGAACATATTTTATTGACAATATATCAAAGAGATTGGACACAAGTTACATAAATAAAACTTAAATTCTAATTTAAATGTTACTTACATAAAGGAAAATTTGGTGCACACCAAGGTGCTTTCCTCTCTGCCTAATTCTTTACACACACCTTTTCTGCAATTCAAGCATCACAAAAATTAAAAAATGTCTCCTTTATATAAAGAAAAGATACTTTCTCTATACTAAATAAAACCTGTCTGCCAATGTCATTTGTATGTTTAGTTTGTTTGTTTGCTTTTTTGTTTTATTTTTTTTGTTTTATTTTTTTTAAATAAAATTAAAACTTAAAATTTCAAACAATCAACACCTGAGCAGTCCATTGAAGGAAATCCTCCACTTTATCATGGGTTCCAGCATTTCAATCCTCAGTCCCCCCGCTGTAAGTGTCCTTGGGGTCACATTACTGACCAGGGTGTCAGGATGTACAGGGTGGTGGAAGTCCCCCACCCCGGGGATTCGGAGATACAACCACACCTCTGAATGTCGACCATGGCGTCTAGCAACTCTGGCAGCAAGATATACTCCATCTTTGTTGAATCCCCCAAAATAGACTGAATCTATTGCCTAGAAATGAATTATCACTGTGCCTAGTTAAATAACATTTTCTGGTTAACATTTTCTGTCTAAAAACTTTTGAACACCGAAATGTATATATGACTACAACCTTACATGTCTTAAGGAACTTATGCCCTGTTCACACGACGAGTTTAATTCGCAGTAAATTAATGCGAAGTAAACTAATGCGAATCAAATTAATGCGAATTAAATTGCGTTCACACGACAGCTAATGCGAAGTAAACTAATGCGAATTAAAAAATTTTTCTACAGTCAGGCATCAGTAAGTCTGTTATGATGTCATTTGTAAATCACGTCATGTATGCAGAGCAATCCTTTGATACATTATGTAGTGGCAACCGGTATTCTTTGATTTTAGTGATTAACATACTTTCCCTCAATTTTTGAACCAAATATAGCACAAATACCTATATATCTGTGACTTAATTCTGGCCTTACACATGCGTGAAAATTTAATTCGAATTAGCTTCGCTTAGCGTTCACACGGAGCTAATGCGAAGTAATTTAATGCGCAGTAAATTAATTCGAATTAAACTAATTCGCATTAAATTATCCGTGTGAACGCTAAGCGAAGCTAATTCGCAGTATCTTTACGTTTAATTCGAATTAAACTCTCCGTGTGAACAGGGCATTAGAAACATATTATATTGCTAACAAAATCACTATTTCTTTTTTTTTTATATGCTACAAAAACATCTAGCACAGAGACAACCATTAAAGCTTTTAAAAAATCCCAGTTATATTCTCAGGTCATTATAAAACATGATAAAGAGTGGAAAAAATTCTTGTAATATATGAACTTACAAAAGGATTGTCCATTAATGGTGGATTGTCCTCCATTTCTTCTGGGTCGCTGACAGATGCCCCGTACCCAGAATTCCCTTCCTGTAACGTCTTCTCTTTCCTCTTCTTCCATTGTCTGAGTTTGAACATGAACAGGAAAATGATTCTTTTAAGATGATACCATCTACCTGCATGATTAAATAGTAAACAACAAAATGATTTTAAAATTCCATATGAAAATAAATATATGTCAATAAAGACGGTTAATTTTGATATCTAAACCTGTAGGATTAACTGCACCAAGTACATCTTAAAGACTTTCAAAGATTCTTTTATTTGTTTACACAGGTAAATCATGTGATTTCTATCTGCAGTATGATGCAATCATCTATTGTTAACCTGTGCTCTGATAATTTGTAAACAAGCAGTAATTTCAAGTCAAATCAACAATCATTATGAAATACACATGCATCAAAAGTCGTCATTAAGGGTTGGGGGCTAGGCGTCAAAAGTCGTCATTAAGGGGAAAAGGAGGGAAAGGTCTAAGGGGAAAAGAGTTAAACAATGTTGGATTTTCATTGCACCAAAATATGATATCTCTGTATATTAAACTACTTATAGCTTATGTGTAGAAAGTCATTAATGATATACTCAGATTATACCAGGCTGTCTATAGATTCCATTGATGGGTGCAGGCACAGGTTTAAACAGCTCCCGTAAGAGTAAGAGAAGGACAAGATAACAAACTACTGTCCAAAGCATCCTTAAATATACTCAGGTTGCTGCTGGAATACTGGGTCTGAAATTACAAAGTTAAGACATGGATTTTAGTGTATAATCATGATAATATTCTCAATAAACTTTGACAACACCCATAAAAACTTTCATTACTCCAGAATAGGGATCAGATATTACATGTACCTTGCGTTGGCACAGTATATAAGCAATATGAATATTATCTGACAGATAATAATGATTGTGCCAATGCGACGACAGCTAGGTTCACCAAATACATTGCATTGCATCATTTAAAAAAAAAAAACTTAAAATTTGGCTCAAATCCTGCATAACTAAACGCTCTATACAGCAAGTAACCTTCTTCTTCTTAAGAGAGTGTGACAGTCTCATTTAAATCTAACCCAGTTTCAATGTACAGTAGCTTAGACACTAGCTGTTTGTTTATCATAACATCGTGGTCCTTTGCATTAAAAATGGCTCATCAAATTCATTTGAAATATCGGCATTAATGCAGACAACAGGATAACAATTCCCACTGATGCAATATTGGCAATATCTTACAAATTTACCTGCACAGCATGCAGTCGTCTTCTGAAGAGTCGACTGGCAGCGGCTGTCAGCTGTAAAAAAAAAAAATCATACGATCTGATCGGACTTCGATCCCGTGCAGATAGCAACTGTTCTGAACCCGATCTATTTAAAATGCATGGTCGTGATTTTATCAGTGAATGTGTAATAAAGTGGGGGAAAGGTAAATTATGTAAATCATGGCATAGAGCTTTACTTAGTACGTGAACAAGTAAACACTACATGTGTTAAGTGTTTATTTTTGACAATTAAAGAACCCCTGACGTACATGTAGCTTTTATATATTTAGTCACAATCAAGGGCCCTCAATGCCCAAGGGGCATATACAATAAAAAAAACAACAACAATATAATCATGATAATAACAGCATTTACTGGTAATTGTTGCATCAGGTGCAATATTGGCTTGATCCTCACGTGCAACAGTTCTCGGATTTGAAATACTGGAAGTGGTTTAGTTCACCATCAAAATAAGCATCACATATAATATGAAAATAATATAACAATATAAAGAAAAAAATCAAGCTGCTTTACACGTATTTCAATGAACAGACAGATAACAGCAAACAAGCAATCCTAAATAATATTGCTCCGTATTATTTAAAAAGTGATATTGTATATATTTTGCTGGCCTGGTAGCATAGGGTACCAAGGGACGATGCCTATTGAGCAGTCTGAAAAAAAAAGTGAAACTCTGAAAAAACCAGCTTGTCGGTCTTGTGCCCCAAGCAACCAAGACAGCCAACTTTTATTCGAGAAATTTTCGCGAGGTTCAGTACAAATTAAATGTACCTTTTAAACTTTTGTGAAAAATAGATACTGTACTTTTATCGATACTTGGTAGACAAGATACTAGTATAACATTTGTAGCATTTGAAATCATATCTTCACTCGTCTTTCAATTTAAAAACATTATACAACATTTTGCATGAATTGTTTGAAAGATTAAATTACCATACCTCTCCATTTCTCAAAATCCTCCTTTTTATTCTCTATTAACTTTGGCGGAGACATCTTAGAGGTTTCCTCAGAGACAAAAGTAAGATCAAAGGCCACGCCGCCTCTCTTCTTTGTCACTTCCTCTGTAACCATCGTTTTCCGTACTTTCTCGTACGCTTCTGTATCTTCTTTCATTACGCCCACTTTGTTATTTTTAGCAAAACAGCTTTGAAGAAGACCCATGGTGTTCTTTTTTCGGACCGGAGCTAACAACAACGCTTCTGCAGTGATGTATATTATGAGGTCAAAGTAATTGTGACGTCATAATAGGAGACAATATTTGACGTCACAATGACGACGCGAATGCTATGCAGTTTACCATGTTGTAAAAAAAATGCCTATAGATATGCACATAACAGTTACAATTGAATGGGAAAATAAAGTTCATATGGCCCATACCTTTAAATTGATTAGTTACACAAGAGCATGCTCTGCGTATGAACACTTTCCAATCAAGCGATTTAAGTTATCCACAAACATGTTGATAATACAAGAATATAAACAGTCTTCATTGTAAGTTCTATGGTCAAAACGGTAGCAAATACAATCTATCATTTAGTCAAATGCTGTTTGACTTTTTCATACTATAATTTTGGGTTATTATTTACGAATTGTCGACGTTATTTCCCAATCATGACAAGGAGCACACGCCTTTTGTGTCCAATTGACAGGAGATACTCCCTCCTCCATGGCACTTAAGGGACCAGGCAAAGTTTATCACAATGATAGGACCGGTACAAACAAGCATGGGGCATTGAGTTTTTTTCATCGAAGAAAACCATGGGGCAGAGACATTTTTAGCATTAAGTACCCATGAAAATGAAAAAAAGCTTGAAATATCTGTAATCTGAAAGAATCCTTACACTGTTTTGTTTGACACTAAGATGTAACTATGGGACATTAGCTGTTTTTTTAAATAAGTCTTAAGGCATGGGACAGATTTTTAAAATACGAATGCCATGGCTTTCAGGGTAGTGCATGCAATGATAAATAAAATATCAAATTTGCTTGGCACAGAAAATATATACATGTAACTATAGTACTGAAGTATACCCTTCTCTTATCCAACATTCCTTCTGTACCATCAAATAATATCAATGATGCTTTCAGATATTCTTTATTATACAATGTCATTGTGCACCTTCTATAAATACTTTATATTTTGATCTGACCCTCATTTCGTTTCTCTCAGAACGAAATAGAAGTACCGTGAGCAATGAACTCCCATATGAATATAACGGAAGTGTCCATAATTTGCTATGGGAATCCCAAAATATGTGTCAAAAGAGATGGGTACCCCAAAGCGTAACATACAGACGGAGGGACGCACAGCTAGACGGACAGACGGACGGACACCCCGATTACTATATATTCTTCCGCTTTTCAAGCGGATATGGCATGTCAAACGTTGCAATATTCGATAATCTTGTGATGTATATTCAAAATCTTGTGATGTATGTTCGAAATCTTGTGATGTATATTCAAAATCTTGTGATGTATATTCAAAATCTTGTGATGTATGTTCGAAATCTTGTGATGTATATTCAAAATCGTGTGATGTATGTTCAAAATCTTGTGATGTATATTCAATATCTTGTGATGTATATTCTAAAACTTGTGATGTATATTCTATAATCTTGTGATGTATGTTCGAAATCTTGTGATGTATATTCTATAATCTTGTGATGTATTTTCAATATCTTGTGATGTATGTTCAAAATCTTGTGATGTATATTCAATATCTTGTGATGTATATTCGAAATCTTGTGATGTATATTCTATAATCTTGTGATGTATGTTCAATATCTTGTGATGTATGTTCAAAATCTTGTGATGTATATTCAATATCTTGTGATGTATATTCGAAATCTTGTGATGTATATTCTATAATCTTGTGATGTATGTTCGAAATCTTGTGATGTATATTCGAAATCTTGTTATGTATATTCTATAATCTTGTGATGTATATTCGAAATCTTGTGATGTATGTTCGATAATCTTGTGATGTATATTCGAAATCTTGTGATGTGTGTTCTACAATTCAGTGATGCGTGCAATAAAATTGCATGACGCAACAGAAAAGTAAGGACAATTTTCATTGGTTAGAAATAACGAAAGTAGCTGAAGCGTCGGGAAAACCATGCAGGTGAGAAAAAACACAATCATCAGTTTGTTTATTGCAGCACTTATTACGAGATGCACGAGTGTTGTTCCTGGTGACATGATGGAGATATTTCGGCCTGCTAGGGAAAAAACTTAGTAAACGTAGATATATTGACAAAATTTGTAGGTATACTCAATTCTCATTATATCGCGGGTTTCATTGTATCGCGGTATGTCGCAAAAATTTGGATACATAGCCTATATTCTTTTTATTGATGGACAATATGTTTATAATGTCCGAAAGTTTACTTTTTTGATGATTAAGAAGTATGGAACATCTGTTTGAAAAAAATATTTAACAAAAACGTAATTTTTCAGATTTCCAGTCACGTTTTTATTATTTTTAACCATTAAGTCTGTAACCTAGTAAAAATTATTCTATAGCTCATCTTTAAATGTCTTAAGTTTGTATATTTATTTACTTTTCCTGTAGAATTACATAGTAAATTCAAAAATAAAAATTGAGGTCCACGTCATCTACAAGTTTCCATGTTTTCCCATACCGCGATACAATGAGACTCTCCAATTTTGGAGGTAAATAAGACTTCCTGTTTTAAAAATAGACAATAACTTAAACGATGCAAGCTTGGGAAATAATTTTACACTAAAAAGTTAGTCCATAGATTGGTTAATGAATATTTTTTTATGAAAGTTAAAAGTAAAAAATTGGAATAACACTTTTTATGCAAAAGGATTAAGTACCGCGATATAATGAGACACCAGTATACTTGTAACGATATGTCACGATGCTGCATTGTCAGATACAGTATTTAGCTATATACATGCATGCTAAAAAGTTAAATCTCGTAGTAATCAATATAGCAGAAGAATAATGAAGAGTACATACTACAAAAACTGTGCAATTTGTAGCAAGATTAATTTTTGTTTAACAGCTGTTTTTATTACATTTTATTTCGTATTATTACTACCAAATACTGCTACCGTTTGTTAATGTTATGCACATGGTTATCTTGTACTTGCAAGTAAATGAAACATTTAAAAAAAAATAATGAAAAAACAAGTCATTTAGGCTATTTGATAATAACATGCTAAATGAACAGGGTTTGCTTTTTAATTCTCCTTCACTCAGTCTTTGTATAATGTATATTTTTAGACGAGCTGATCGCCAACCAGGAGATCAGAATGATCGCATCTGCTCCTGCCACTTTAAGGATGGTAAGAAGGAGGGGGACCCTGCATATTTTGCATGGAATGAAGGAAAGGCCATGGATTTCTCTGATCCTGAATGTACAAAAAGGTGAAATTATTTTTCAAAATGTGACCGACATCTTGTTTTTGGATGGTGGGTGGGTGGAGTTTAATTGAGAATATTTTACTAAAAAACTTTAAAAGGGTACATGTATAAACAGAGTAGCTTACAACTGAATAAAAAAATAATTCAAGTTTAATTATTTTACAAAGGAGGAAAAAACTCAAAAGTGAGGAGTCCCTGTCATCTTCACAGATGGACCAGTTGCAGATTCCACAAGCACCAAAATGTCAATATCAAGAAAAAGTAAAGCTCATTTAAAACACCAATGATGACAAATGACCAACACTGAAACATTTTCAATAATTTTTAATAATATATAAAGTTCTTTTAACTGTACATGATTTACAATATATTTTCAGTTGATATCAGAGCACAACTACTCAGCATCCTGCACATTTAACTGTACTCAAGAAATGCAGCGCCTCTCAACAGAAATACAACTGGAAAAGGAATTGCTTGCCCTAAAAATAGAGTCTAGTAAAAGGAAGCCAATATCAATCCACGATATTAAATACAACGAAGAGAAGGTACATTTAAAGGAATTCCAATTGTGATTTCCTATTTCCTATCAATTTCAGTTACTGTAATAAAAACTTGTTGCCATTGAGGGATGAACATCTTAGATTGACTGTTATGTTAACATATTTTGTTATTATTTGGGAGTGTTAGGTCTCTGATCAGCAGGGGCATTTTCTCTATATAAGAAGAAAATGGAGACTCCCTACCCACCCGATGTATTTTGTCGGACAGTTTTCTGTACATTGCAGGTAAATTTTTTATTTATTAACTTTCCAGCCTCTTATTGTATAGTACATTTTGGGGTTTGAAGTCAGTTTTTGCTTTTCTTTAATTTTTAAAAAAAATTATTTAAATTCTCCTTTTCTTAGAATAAAATTCAAAAAGTAGCTTCTGATTGTAATGTATAAGACTACAGACATTGAACTTTGATTTGTTATCAAAAGGATTGATTTAAACTTGTCTAAATTAATTGTAAACAAAAATAAAAGGGGGCACCTGCTATTTCTTTAAGTGTTTTTCACTGGGGGGTGGGGAAACTTTTTTGTACATACTTGAGCAATAGGAGGGATTAGATAAGAATCAATTAGTATATCAGAGTCTTAAATAATATCCTTTGCATAAGCATAAAAAAATTCTATATCAGTCTTTTTAAAACCTTTGAATTTTGCTTAATTAACTACGATTTATCCAATTTTGGAGCTTTTTACCTAATTCTGGGTAGAATCCACCCTTATGAAATTATTGACTCAATTTTGACTTAATATCACTTTATTAACATTAAAGCACAAAAACAATTCATTGTACAAATATTTTATTTATTACAGTCACCAATATATCCAAATATCATCACCGGCCCAGACGTCATTCACTCCTTTGAATTGTGCTGGTAGCAGTAAGGTGTCATCATTTGAGATGGTCACAGTATCCAATACACTGAAGTCACAGGACTCAAATTTCATACATGTTCACAGGTAGGTGTATAGTCTTTGAAATTACCACAATTGACTAATTCTGGGACAGGTAAGTATGTAAGTATAGGAATGAGAGCACCAAATCCCCGGATGCACACATGGCTTTGTTTGTTATGGAACATTAAACTGAATACTGAATGGGTAGGCGTTACGCCATTGGCTGAAATCAGGTATTTAATTGTTTTCATTTTAAAGTAAAATTAATGACCTTTGAAATAAATGATGGGATGAGGGAATATTACAGAAACTATAGAAATGCCAGGGAAGATTTTAGGAGTGGGGGTTGATTTTTTATGCCGCGTGTTATTTACTGCGAATCTCTAAAAGTTGAAAATAACTGCAATTTTGACCTATAAACGCCATGGGACCATGTATTTTTTTCAGTATTTTTTGTTAGGGCTTAGAACAAAGTTTGAAATGATGCTAAAGATTTTTCTGAAATTGTCATAGTAAAGTACTGAGAGGGCCTAAGGTTTGTATGGAGTTCTATGGGAAAATAATTAGTGGTCTTTTCCCTATACAAGATGCTGTCTGATGGCGTAGTGTAGAATGTAGCGTAGAATGTTTTCCAAGTCAGCTTAAATGCAAAGGTTTGTTTTAAAATTTATCATAATGACTTGCAAAAATTTAATGCAGTTAAATTTATTGTATTCTTGAAAGATTGACTGTAACACAATTTTTTTACACAATTACAAATAATCAAATTAATTTTTTTCCAACTTTTTTTCAGGGTCTCTGCCAAAATCTTTTGAGGATTTTTCCTCTGCTAGAGCATCCATGGATGCAATTGAAACAACCCAGGACATCCCAACACATATGGATAATCAGGCCATGGCCTACAGTATGTACAAAAGTTGCCATACTTTTAAAGCAGTAACTTGCGTGCCTCCAAATGGTGCACTTACATTTTGCTCCATGCTGTACCCAGGTTCTACTTCTGATGTAGCTATTGTACGTCACAGCCAAGTTTTACAAAAGTTCAAAGCTGGAGACCTTATTTTGGTGGTCAAAGGTTTCACCATTCATGACCAGTTGCCCCAGGGTGTCTGCTTAATTATAAAAGCTCTTTTATCGACACTAGGCCAGTTTACCATACAAGAAGCAGCACTGTGTTACAAGATTGCTAAAGCACTTATTCATGTGGAAAGAGCCAAGGAGAGGATAAAGAATTACGAGATTCTCCGTCACATACCATCTACTTACAGACCAATCTCAACAAAAATATTTCAACTCTGTTCTTGTCTTGTAAACTTGCAAGCTCCACTTTTGAAAGAAATTACTTAAAGATACATGTACTTATTATAAATTTGCATTGGCGTGTGACAGTATACACTAAACAGTGAAGATATTCATACCAAAGTGCAAGGGATAAGCAAATTTTGATTTGTTATCAATGTCAATGGTTATATTTGTTAACTTTGTAGTATGTTGTAATACATATACTTCATAAAATGAAAATCCCTTTTGTTAGCATGGATTTATTACAAGAATGTTTGGCAATTCCATTCTTCATTTGACAATATAATTTGGAAGAGGGTTTACTTATAATTTTAAATCTCTAGTTTAAAGTATATTTACCTTTAAAGCACAACTCAACAAATTCATGTTTTCAACAATTTATCTATTAAGAAAGACAAAAATGTTACATTTTCACTTTGAGAATAACATCTTCAATTCATTAATAAAATGATTCTAAATTTTGATATTCTTTTTTTATGTAGTACATAGATTTTATTAATCATCATTGCTATTTAAAATAGTCTTATAAGCCAGAAGTTTTATGATGGATTGTGACATATCATATCATACATTTATGAGACTTAGGAACATTCAACACATTTAACATGATTACCCATTTTCCATTGTTAGAAAATTCTAGAGGTACAAAACTAAGTGTCAAGAAGTTCAAACCAGAACTCAGTTTTCCATCAGTGCTGGAATGAAAATGTTAATGTAGAAATCTATCAGCTTTGGAACATTTGCTGTCCATTCAATGTCTTTTACTATTCTAATCACAATGCAGTCTACTCTTGTCCACACAATTAAGTCGCAGAATGTTTTGTTACATATGTGTAGCTGGCCTTGAATTTGATGATAGTATGGGTGACTGGTTTTCAGGCACAGGGTATCTTGTTTAAGATCTAAAAAAAAATCAAAAAACACTTAAGTTGTGTTATACCAGTACATATCCCCTCCTTTTTCAATATCTTCATACCATATTGAACAGCTGCACTTGTAAATTAATACATGTTTTGAAATCATTTACTCACCAAGATTTTTAATTTCAAAGTACTGGACAATACAGATTTTTAATGTTATTTACCTATGAAAAATCCTTCAAATTTTGTGCCCCATCTGCTACTGTTGAAGACAATGCTGTATATGGACACTTCACCTCTACAATATCAGGAATGGCGTCTTTGGCTTCTGGGGTTTGATAAAATACACTGCATGTTGGTGGTCGAACAACTAAGCCATCAGGTGAAGCTCCCAACACTCCGGATTCATGCAACCATATCCTTTTCAGAAAAAATTATAATACTACTGAATGCAAACAAACCATAATACAATTGATTTTGTAATGCAAACAAAGTCTAAGTAGAGCTTTTATAATCCTTCCACTTCAAAAAGCAAATTTTCTGGAATATGTTGGTAACTGAATATTTATGCCCCGCCATGAATATGGCCGGGGCATATAGTGTTTGTCATGTCCGTCTTCCGTCCTTCTGTCCTTCCGTCCCACTTTGTGTTTAGCTCTGTTCAAAGCTAAGTTTCAAAGAAACTATCCAAGATATTTTCATCAAACTTCATATGCTGATAGATATTGATGAGAGCTATGCAACTGCATTAACATTTTTTGACCTTGACCTGACTTTTCTTAAATAGTGTTTAGCTCAGTTTTAAACATACCATTCAAGATGGTGTTATCAAACTTTACATGTTGATACAAACTTGCATAGATGATGCATCTAGAGATGAACACTACCGGACATGCTTCGGATGCTGGATCTGACCTACATTTTCCAGATGAGTGACCAAATTAAAGTTTTTGGAGCAGGTCCATTCTTAAGGAACTATAAGCCCTACTTAGACCAAACTTGCTTGGATGATGCATCTAAGGATGGACACTACCAGACTTGCTTCGGATGCTGGATCTGACCTACATTTTCCAGATGAGTGACCAGGTTGAAGTTTTTGGAGCAGATTTATTCCTAAGGAACTATCAGCCCTACTTAGACCAAACTTGCATGGATGATGCATCTAGGGATGGACACTACCAGACTTGCTTCGGATGCTGGATCTGACTTACATTTTCATTCCCAAGTAACTATAAGCCCTACCTAAACCAAACTTGCATGGATGATGCAGCTAGGGATGGACACTACCAGACTTGCTTCGGATGCTGGATCTGACCTATATTTTCATTCCCAAGTAACTATAAACCCTACCTGAACCAAACTTGCGTGGATGATGCATCTAGGGATGGACACTACCAGACTTGCTTTGGATGCTGGACCTACATTTTTATTCCCAACTAACTATAAGCCCTGCCTGAACCAAACTGATCAAATTTTATACATGTACAAATTTCATGTTGCTTTACTAATATATCCTCGGCGGGGCATTCATGTCCTATGGACATATTTCTAGTTTTTTTTACAATTAGACTTCAGTAATTGATTTCTGTTTGTCACCAGGATAAGTCCTGCTATTTGTTTTGACACATTGAATGTTAACATGTCAGAGGTTGAATGAATGTTATTTTGTGCTGTATACCTGACTGCTCTACAGCTGCATCAAAGTCCTTTTCATACTTTCTCAAAGCATCATCTTCATGAGTGATACCCCATGCAACAGCCTTGATGGACTCCAGATTGTAAGCCGACATCAGCTGTTTCTTCAGTGACAATGTCAATCTGGAGAAGAAAATATGATTTTTGGTTATTAATCTTATATTTCCTGCATCTTTATGTACAAATATCTAGTCATTACAGTCGAACCTCATTATCTCAAACTCAATGAGACCAAGAAAAATGTTGGAAATATCCGTGGATTCAAGAATAATACATAAAGAGTTATCAAGAATAAAATGTCCCAGTCTTTTATAAATGGTTTGGACTTCAAAATTACTGTGACATATCCATGAAATATGAGATAATGGGTTTGAGATAACAAAGTTTGACTGTAATTTTAAAAGTCTTTTTCGCAAAAATTTAATCACACGTCTTACCGCCTTTGCTTAGAACTGAGAACTGCACCAAAGTTGGAAGCTGATATGCTATATTTCCTTACAATCGACCACATTGGGTTGTTTCGTTGCCAATGCAGCTCTTTTAATGGATTCAGGGATAATGCATGCTGTAACCATACCATAGGGGTATCAGAATGAACATACTCTGGTGATGTTAACAGGTCTTCAATGAGAGGTACAGGTGGACCAGGTTCACATGGCTCTGGTTCAAGAATCCAATTCAATGCTGAAAAATTTCATTACTTGTGTCATTCTCAAAAATATCATCCATAATATCCATATCACATATACCAAGTATTTATATAAGAGTCCATACATTTCATTTTAGTGAACACTGTCATGGGTTTTTGTAATGTATGCATTACATATCAAATTTACAACTCACTTGCATATATTTGTTCAGAATTGTTCCTGTATATAATTTTGCACGTGGCATTCTTAGTGTGAAAATGCCATGTAAAAATTGGTGCAAATGTACAATTAATATTTACTTAATTATTAACAAGGTTTCATAATGACAGAGTATTTAAATAATAGAAGAATGATCTGATAATTCGCAAGAATATGAAACAAAATATTTTTTTTAATGCAATTGAATAATTTATTTTTCCTTTCAAAAATGTATGCTCATGTACAAAAATGCTATCATATTTATAATATTGTCTTTCCAATTATTCAAAGGTTGTTATTAATATTTATTACATAATATGTTCAAAAATTGGGCAATATACATAGCCAACTATATTATACTCCTCATCTTTGTACATTTGTTCACAATTAAAATTAACCATCGTTCAGTAACAAAATAACAGTTTCATAATACTCGTAATATAAAAATCAAATCAAACTTAAATAACAACAATAGTGACACCAAAATCATAACTTCCTTCTTATATTTTACCAATAAACCTTCCAAGGTGCAAAAAACACTGGTCACTTTCATCAAAGGGTCGGTTTAAAGCACTTCAAATATGAAGCAAATTTTTTAACAACTGATTTATTTATATTTAATGATTGATCATTTTTAAAAAAAAAAAAAAAAAAAAAAAACAAGAGGCCCATGGGCCACATCGCTCACCTGAGCACTGTGGCTAGGAAAAAGTAAAAATTGGTTTTTTATTGAAAAGTTTAAATCCAAAAGTAGTCCCTTGACCAATCATGGCTTTGCTTTTCTTGAGAAGGTTATTTTTAAAGAATTTTCCTATATATTTCTATATAAAATTTGATCATCCTTTGTGGCCCCGTCCTACCCCCGGGGAACATGATTTGAACAAACTTGAATCTACACTACCTAAGGATGCTTCCATATAAATATGATCAATCAGGGTTTTGCTGTTCTTGAGAAGAAGATTTTTAAAGATTTTTCCTTTATATTTCTATGTAAAACTTTGATCTTCCATTGTGGCCCCGCCCTACCCCGGGGGTTATGATTTGAACAAACTTGAATTGACACTACCTGAGGATGCTTCCATATAAATAGGATCAATTATGGCTTTGTCATTCTTGAGAAGAAGATTTTTAAAGAATTTTCCTATATATTTTTATGTTAAACTTTGGTCAGCCATTGTGGCTCCGCCCTACCCCCGGGGGTCATGATTTGAACAAATTTAAATCTACACTACCTGAGGATGTTTCTCCATAAGTTTCATTTTTCCTGGCACAGTGGTTCTTGAGAACAAGATTTTTAAAACATACCATCAAATTTTCATTAATTCCCAATTATCTCCCCTTGAATGAGGGTGTGGCCCTTTATTTGAACAAACTTGAATCCCCTTCACCCAAGGATGCTTTGTGGCAAGTTTGGTTGAAATTGGTCCATGGGTTCTAGAGAAGAAGTCGAAAATATGAAAAGTTTACAGACAGACAGATGGACAGACAGACAGACAAACAGCTAGATAGACAAAATGTGATCAGAAAAGAGCTAGAAATGAAACATTCCTCACCACAAAAGCCAGAAGAATATAGGGACCACCACCAGTAACATGTTTCTGGGAAGAACCAAACCATGCAGAGATAAATATCAATAGTCCTGAATCTTCGATGCAGGACCAAGTACGAGAATTGCTACAAACACTACTCCGGAGACTTACCTATTATCCTATGATGTAACGTACTTTGTCCACTGCAGCTGGTTCCCTCATAAGCTGGTAGCGAGGACAGTTCAGGATGTCCTGTCAACTTTATTCCTCAACTTCCTGTCTTGGACTGAAAAGCAATAAGTGGAAATCTTTAGTGTTGCCTAGTGACTTTGAATTAAAAAGAAAGTTGCAAGATTGTGAAGGGGGGGGGGGTACTGATGCTGTGCATTTTAATTAAATGTACGAAATCTGTATTTCACAGTTTAATGCATTCATGTATTTTGTGAATTGTCTTAGGATTCATGTAATAATTGTTGCTATGTATTATTAAGCACTAAATCTATTCAACTGCATGTGTAAATGGGGAAAATGTGGATATGTAAATGATGTATAATTGCAATGTGTAAAATGTGACATTTTCTTATATGAGGGAGTCTGTTCATGTAATTTTTTTTTCATTAATTATTTTATTTATCTTGATAAAATTATTTCAATTAACAATATTGTTTTTCTTACCAGTCTGATGAACTCAACAAAGGTTACAGAGGTGAATGGTAGAAATATGGGTATTACAGGTGTCAAAACTCTTCGTTGATGACCAGACTGCATGCCGCACTGTAAAATCACCATTTTGGATCTTTAAAAGGGGAGGCTACTCCTGAAATCAAAGAAATTGTCATAAAAATGAGTAACCTGATTTTCTTTAGGTCTCACACAAGGAAATAATTTCACTATATGTTACTATATAGCTTTAATTAAATAAATTAATTAACTAGACTCTCAGCAGATAATTCATGAATGAGAAAAAAGATTAATGCTTAGACAAAATTTGAGATCAGAAAAAATATACCCCTTATGCGGCTTTTAAGAAAGAAAATTGAGACTAAACATACCTATACCCCGAAATACACATGGGCAAACAGCCAACACACCATCGAGGAAGTTACATCGATCATGCGTACCTAAAAAAAAAAGAGTTCCCTTTGATTCAGTGGCACAATTCTGCTGATATGATATTCCTAGTGCATGAGTCCAAAATTAAAACTGTAGACCTACGTAAAGTTCCTGAAAATGAAAAAAGAAAAGAAATATTATTGTCTCTATATACATCATACATAGAACTACATTTGTTCATTTTAATTAGCTATCTCCTTGCATAAGACCTTTAAGGGTAATTTTATGCTATTTACCATGTGCACTGATTGCCATAAAACTAAAGAAAAAATACCAGCCTTACAAAGTCACTTAACCATGACCTTTGACATACCTTACTAAGAATACCCTGGACAATTTGGTTTAACTTAAGACTTCTGAATTTTTAAATGCAGGTTTTGATAAATTAACCATTTAATATACTTATGAGCTCATAAAACTGTTCTTTAAAACTGTATGATAAAGAGTGTAAAAACTTTGAAACATGTTTGGAAAGTATTATCACACATGTGATATGGGATAAATTATCACCACAGAAAGATCAAAGAAAATCACTGCAGATATGCGACAATAATTCTTATCATTGTTTATTGTATGTCAAGTCTAGAATATGATATATCATTACAAATATTATGATTTTTAGCCGGGCACATTGCTCGTAGAGCAATGCTCAGCTATAACGACGGTGAGCAACAGAAAATGCTGCTTCTTCACCGCCAAATTGAGTTTACGAGTAAAAGTATGGTATGTGCACCAGCCGCTGTTGAGAAAACAAAAATTCAACACCTTAAGAAATAGTAAATTGAATATTTTTATCATAATATTAAATTGTTTAATATTTTTTCCTGGCTCCTTTGACTAATATTTTACAAAGTAATTCAACGGGTGCGAAAGGTTTTCACCAGGTATCCCTGTCTGCATCATATTCTATAAACAATATAATTAAAATTAGATGTTAGATCCGCTCGCATACTCAACACACTAACATCTAACAAGTCATCCCATTGAGGGTCACGTAAGAGGTTAAATTCGGAACGCCTCAAGATTTATTCGCTTCAACAATATATGATGATTTTGCCAGCTGCGATTTGATTAATTGATAGAATTTGACCTCTGACGTGACCCTCAACGGGATGTTGTTAGATGTTAGTGTAGCGAGTATGCAAGCGGATCTAACATCTAATTTGAATTAGATTGATTCTATAAATAAAGGTTGTACTATCAGGCTAACACAAATGCAGGGAACATCATTAATGACTTGATGCAAATCTCCCTGCTGAGGACACATCAGTGCAGAGACGTTTGACCTTAATCTTGCTGCATGGTGTTTATTTACTTCTGTTTGTATATAAAACCGGATTACCCCGAAACGATACGTGATAAATATTTTTCGCTGTTAATTTCTAGCTATATTTTATTTTATTTTTAAAACTATTTAATATTATACATGCCATTGAGATATTTTTGTGTGTATTACATATATTCTCTAAACGTCTGAACGTGATTTTAAACTGTCACCACAGTCCTTGTTCATTATCCTGTAAATGAGCCCGGCTCAATACATTTACTATAAAAATAATTGGACAAATTTGTGAATGACAATATTCAATGATGCATAGCAATTAATCTTTTCCTGACATTCACCTTCTCCTAAAAATTTGTCGTGTTATTTATTTATTTATTGCAAAGTCGTCCCTGGACTAGTGCTACGGTCAATGCAGCTGCAATGGGCCATGCAATTTCGAACCCTGCGTGGTGAGAGTTTGTCCCGAGACACAGTTAGATTATTCTAACTAGCACCAATATAGAATAAATCATACCGATTAATCAACATCACTACAATATGAGGACGTAAAAATAGGATAAAACATCCTTTAGTCCAGCAATAAGCCACTAAATTGTTTTTGATGTACCTTCAAACAAATCAAATTAATGTTCTTGATTCCCACTTTTCACGTTATGACTGACTTAGTGCTTCTTGATACCAAAACAATTTTTCTATTACCTATAATTTTGACTTTAGGTTGAATTCGCCAATTTCATGCTTGCGAAGTTGTGTCAATGTGTGCATTACGACCGCTCCGGCTACTTTCGTTATTTCTAACCAATGAAAATTGTCCTTACTTTTCTGTTGCGTCATGCAATTTTATTGCACGCATCACTGAATTGTAGAACACACATCACAAGATTTCGAATATACATCACAAGATTATCGAACATACATCACAAGATTTCGAATATACATCACAAGATTACATCGAATATACATCACAAGATTTCGAACATACATCACAAGATTATAGAATATACATCACAAGATTTCGAATATA